CAAGATAATTTGAGACCTGAAGGACCGTTCGAGGGTCGACCTAAGGACGACTTCATGCCGAAAACAGCGGAGAGGCCAGAAGTAAGAAAGCCTCAAGATAATTTGAGACCAGAAGGACCGTTCGAAGGACGTCCCAAGGACGATTTCACGCCGAAACGAGGCGAGAGGCCAGAGGTTAGACGGCCCGAGGATAATCTAAGACCGGAGGGACCGTTCGAGGCGAGGCCTAAGGACGATTATAAACCAACGAGAGGAGAAAGGGCTGATGTTAAACGTCCCGAAGACAATCTGAGACCGGAAGGGCCGTTCGAGGGTCGACCTAAGGACGACTTCATGCCGAAAACAGCGGAGAGGCCGGAAGTAAGGAAGCCTCAGGACAATTTGAAACCGGAAGGACCGTTCGAGGGCCGACCGAAAGACGACTTCTCGCCGAAGAGGGCCGAACGTCCAGAAGTGAAAAAGCCGCAGGACAATTTGAGACCAGAGGGTCCCTTCGAGGCTCGTCCAAAGGACGATTTCACACCGAAAACGGCTGAACGTCCCGAGGCCAAAAGACCGCAGGACAATCTTCGACCTGAAGGACAGTTCGAAGACCGTCCCAGGGATGAATACACGCCCGGTGAGAAACGTACGCCGATCAGACATTCGGATAATTTGTATCTCGAAGGAGAGTTCGAGAGGCCGAGGCACGTGCCCTACGGGCCCGGCGAACGAGCGCCGATCGTGCGACATCCGGATAATCTGTTCCCCGAAGGCGACTTCCCAGATAGGGAACGTGCTCCATTTACGCCAGCAGAGCGCAGAACGCCCATCAAACACGACGACAACCTCCGTCCTGAGGGACCTTTCGAGGGTAGGCCCAAGGATGATTACAAGCCAACGAGAGGCGAGCGCGCAGACGTGAAACGTCCCGAGGACAACTTGAAACCCGAGGGACCGTTCGAGGGAAGGCCCAAGGATGATTTCTCGCCGAAAATCGCCGAACGTCCGGAAGTCAAGAAACCGCAGGATAATCTGAGACCGGAAGGACCGTTCGAAGGTCGTCCAAAGGACGATTTTTCGCCGAAGGTAGCCGAGCGTCCCGAGGTTCGAAGGCCGCAGGACAATCTGTATCCTGAAGGCGAATTCGACGTGCCGGAGAAGCCGGCGTTTGGTCCGGCAGAGAGGCGTACACCGATCAAACATCCGGACAACCTCAGGTCCGAGGGAGAGCTCGTTATCAGGCCCAAGGATGACTTCAGCCCCGGCAAAGGAGACAGAGCTGTTGTAAAGAGGCCCGAGGACAATTTGAGACCGGAAGGGCCGTTCGAGGGCAGGCCCAAGGACGATTATCAGCCGTTTGTCCGCGGTGAACGGGTGGACGTTGTCAAACGCATTGACAACCTTCGAATGGAAGGCGACATCGAGACTTACAGGTCGAGGGACGAGTATACGGACTTCCTGGTTCGCGAGAGAGCAGAGGTGACGAGGTATCAGGATAATTTGCGGATGGAGGGCGAGTTCATCGACGCTCGAACCAGGGACGATTTCAAGGTGGTGAGAGGCGAGAGGGTGGACATCGTGAGGCACCCGGACAACCTGCGGCCGGAAGGTCCGTTCGAGGCTCGCCCGAAGGACGACTACTCTCCCAAGAAGGCAGAACGGCCGGAAGTGAAGAGGCCAGAGGACAATCTCAAGCCGGAGGGAGACTTTGTCGGTCGACCGAAAGAGGAAGCGCCGCGGAAGGGCGAAAGAGCAGATGTGAAAAGGCCGAAAGACAATTTGTATCTCGAGGGAGAGTTCGAGGTTCCTGAGAAGAAGCCTGTTGGACCGGCTGAAAGAAGAACGCCGATCAAACACGCGGATAATCTACGCACGGAGGGTGATTTCGAGCGGCCGCAGCCCGAGGAATACAGGCCTGCCGAGAGACCAGTCGCGAAGAGGCCTCAGGACAACTTGAGACCCGAGGGCGAGTTTGTCGGGCGGCCGAGGGAGGAGACGCCGACGAAAGGGGAGAGAGCTGACGTTAAGAGGCCGGAGGACAATCTGAAACCGGAGGGCGCTTTCGAGAGACCCGAGAAGAAACCTCTGGGACCGGCGGAGAAACGCACTCCCATAAAGCATCCGGACAACTTGAAGCCTGAAGGTGACTTTATCGGCAGGCCGAGGGAGGAAGCGCCTAAACGCGGAGAACGGGCTGACGTTAAGAGGCCGCGGGACAATTTGTACCCGGAAGGTCAGTTCGCCAAGCCGGAGAAGTCTCCGGTGAAACCTGCCGAGAAGAGGACTCCCATCAAGCATCCCGACAACTTGAAACTGGAAGGAGACTTCGTTGGAAGACCGAAGGACGATTATAAGCCGACCAGAGGGGAACGCGCCGACGTGAGGAAACCCGAGGACAATCTCAAGCCTGAAGGGCCGTTCGAGGGCCGTCCCAAGGACGACTTCGTCCCTGTCCGCGGCGAACGGGCGGACGTAGTCAAACGCACTGACAACTTGCGAATGGAAGGGAGCATGGAGACTTACAGATCGAGGGATGAGTACGCGGAGTTTTTAATCCGCGAGAGAGCAGAGATCACAAAGTACGAGGACAACCTGCGCATGGAGGGCGAGTTCACCGATGTCCGGACGAGAGACGACTTCAAGGTGGTGAAGGGGGAGCGCGTGGACGTGGTGAAACATCCGGACAATCTGAAGCCGGAAGGTCCGTTCGACGCCCGGCCGAAAGACGACTACTCGCCCAAGAAGGCGGAGAGGCCAGAGATGAGGAAACCAAAGGACAATCTGAGAACCGAGGGAGAATTCGAGAAGCCCGAGAAGAAACCCGTCGGCCCGGCGGAGAGACGTTCGCCGATAAAACACGACGACAACCTGAAGCCCGAGGGCGAGTTTGTCGGTCGTCCGAAGGAGCAGGCGCCAACGAAGGGCGAGAGAGCCGACGTGAAGAAGCCGAAGGACAACCTGAAGCAAGAGGGCAATTTCGAGAGGCCCGAGAAGAAACCGGTGGGCCCTGCCGAGAAGAGGACCCCGATCAAACATCCGGACAACTTGAAGCCTGAAGGTGACTTTGTCGGCAGGCCGAAGGAGGAGGCGCCTAAACGCGGAGAACGGGCTGACGTTAAGAGGCCGCGGGACAATTTGTACCCGGAAGGTCAGTTCGCCAAGCCGGAGAAGTCTCCGGTGAAACCTGCCGAGAAGAGGACTCCCATCAAGCATCCCGACAACTTGAAACTGGAAGGAGACTTCGTTGGAAGACCGAAGGACGATTATAAGCCGACCAGAGGGGAACGCGCCGACGTGAAGAGACCCGAGGACAACCTGAGACCGGAGGGTGAATTCATCGGGAAGCCGAAGGACGATTACAAGCCGACTAAAGGCGAGAGAACGGAGATAGTCGTCCACAGAGATAACCTGAGGATGGAGGGCGACATCGACGTGCATCATCGTTCGAGAGACGATTACAAGACGATCGTCAAGATCGAAAGAGCGGACGTGGTTCGCCGGGAGGACAATCTGCGGATGGAGGGTGAGTTCGTCGACGTTCGAAGACGAGACGACTACAGCGTGACGCGCGGAGAGCGCAGCGAGATTGTCAGACACGAGGATAATCTGAGGCCGGAGGGAGAGTTTGAGAGGCCGGAGACGTCCCCCGTTGGTGGCCCGGCCGAGAGAAGAACTCCGATCAAACATCCGGACAACCTGAAGCCCGAGGGTCAGTTCGCTCAGCGACCCAAAGTTCCTGTGCCGACCAAGGGTGAGAGAGCCCCGACCAAGAAGCCGAGAGACAACCTGAAATCGGAGGGGGACTTTGAGAGGCCCGAGAAGTCGCCCGTTGGTCCCGCGGAGAGAAGAACGCCAATCAGACATCCCGACAACTTGCACCTGGAGGGAGAATTCACCGGAAGACCGAGGCAAGACGCGCCGACTAAGGGAGAACGAGCCGACGTGAGGAAACCGAAGGACAACTTGCACCCTGAGGGCGAGTTCGCCAAGCGAACGCCTCAGAAGGTCGGCCCGGCTGAGAGGCGCGCTCCGATTCGCCACGAGGACAACCTCCATCTCGAGGGAGACTTCTACGTGGTGCCGAAAGACGATTTCACGCCGAAGAGGGGCGAACGAGCGCCGGTTAAAAAGCCTCAGGACAATCTGAGGCCAGAGGGTGAGATGGAGGTCAGTCCGTCCTCCAAGGACGATTACAGGCACGTGAACGGAGAACGAGTGGAGGTTCGTCGACACGAGGATCACCTGCGAATGGAGGGGGAGATGGACGTTCGCAGGTCCAGAGACGATTACAAGAAGATCACGAAAGTGGAGAGGACGAGCGTACGCAGGCACGAGGACAATCTGAAGCTCGAGGGTGAGTTCATAGATGTGCGCAGGAAAGACGACTACGTGCGCGTGGTTGGCGAATGTGCGCCTGTCAAGAAGCACCCTGACAACCTTCGTACCGAGGGGGAGTTCGAGAGACCGCGGAAGTCTCCTCTGGGACCAGGCGAAAGACGCTCGCCCATTAAACACCCTGACAATCTGAAGCCGGAGGGAGAGTTCGAGCGTAGAACGCCGGAGAAGCTTGGCCCCGTGGAGCGTAGATCACCGATTCGTCAGGTGGACAATCTCAGACCCGAGGGGGACTTCGTTGGAAGGCCTCGCGACGATTTCACGCCGAAGAGAGGAGAAAGGGCGGAGGTAGTCCGCCGGGAGGATAATCTGAGGATGACCGGCGAATTCCAGGACACGACCTCGCAGAGATCAACGTACACGGTGGTTCGCGGGGAACGCGCGGAGATCAAGCGCCACGAGGACAACTTGAAAGTGAGCACCGGCGCCATGGAAACGAAGACAACGTCCAGAGACACGTTCACGCCGACCAGGAAGGAAGACTCTCCGACTGGCAGAGCCGTGAGTCGCCGACACCACATGGAGTCTTCGATCACGTTGGGTGACGACGTCTCCACCATGTCCACGACTACTCAGAGGAATTACAACACCTTCACCAAACGCACTGCCAAGGAGGTGGCTGCCAAGATGAGCAGCCTGGAGATGGATACTAGGAAAGATGAGTCGAGGGCTTCGGAGAACGGGATGACGATCACGAAGAAAACGACCGGGGAGAGGACGTTCTCGTCGGCTGATACTCCGCAGCAAGACTCTAGAAAATCGTTGACGACTGTAATCTCGGGTAATCAGCAGTACGTAGCGGCGAGCGAGCATCATCAAAGGGCGCGTTCCAGCGAGAGACATTTGAGATCGCAGAACGTGACTCAAACGCGACGTATCGTCGACGATAGCAGTCACCGAGGCCTCGTGGTCGATGGAAGGCAACAGGTTGAAAAGCACCAGCAAGAGACGAGCAGAAGGGACTACGTGAACACTCAACACATCGAGTCTCGACAGCAGAGCGCAACACAGAGACACAAGCAACACCACGAAGAGCGCAGCACCGTCTCCAGCCAAGCTCGCTACAATTCCAGTCAGGCGAGCAGCGCGGAGTTCAGGCAAGCGATCAGCGGCGATCAGTCTACGGAGAGATTGCACGTGGACGCTGCTCTGACGAAGACCAGCCACCACAGGAAGAACGTAATCTCCTCCTCGTCGGCGGACGTTACCAACTCGGTTCTCCACAGGCGCAGAACCACATCCTCCACGGAGGCGCTCCACACGATATCGTCGACGGCCGCCGATCAGAAGAAGAGCATCTCGAACCTGGCCGAGAGCGGCCAGTACATCAGCAACTCGAGCCAGAGCAGCGACCGGCGCAGCCTCACCTCTTTACACCGCAGCGCCAAAGATGGTAATCCTTGGGCTTCTTCCACCTACGAACGTCCCCAAAGAATCGTCCGGCAGGACAATCTGACGGTCGGTGGCAAGTTCTACTCGCACAGCGAGGCGAAGAACTACGGGAACTTCGTGAGTCAGAGGGTGGAGAGAGTTCAGAGACAGGCGAACGTGTCGCACATCAGTCTAGGCGACGGGACCACCGTCACCTCGAGCATGTACAAGAAGGAGTACGCGCCCAGGCACAGAGGCCCTTGTCCTGCCGCGCTCATCGAGGCGAAACAAGCGCCTTTCAAGCACACCAGAGACACACCGAAGCACAAGTTCTATATGCCCGTCGTTTCCAATTGATACGAGTTAGTAGAGGTTAGCAATATGCAGAATAAGGAACTACTCCCGAGATATTTATGTTTATATCTTTTTATATTATATTGATATTTTCTTTCTTCGCGAGGTTTCTTCAAAATCACATTTTTTTCTTTCTCTTTTTTTTTTT